TGCTACGCTCATTTGATACATGGTCATTTTAGTGAATTGCAAACAAATGCCCCAGCCACTGCCACATTCAGTTTTAGCAGCACAGTGAAATGATCAAATGAATATGCCGTTGTTTTACTCTGATCCATTTTAATATACTTTAATTCATCAGGGATTCAGGAATATGTGGAAGCCGTCTCTTTCCTGCACTACATCCGCCATCGCTGCCTCATCAGCTTGGAAGAGATCAACGCCAGGCTGGTGTTCATGAACACAGAGAAGGCAGATCCTAAGGTAAAATCACAGAGGACTGACTGAACATTAACAATTTATGAAGTATTTTTTAAGCCCCAAAAAGTCCTTAAAAGAACTATGTGACGTTCTGGAAAATATATTTTGTCGCTTTCTTGGTATCAAACTGTTTGGCTTAGAGAGTGTATATAAAAATAAAACTTAGATGTAGCCACTGTAACGTCACCGTTAGATTTGAGACTCCAAATATGGAAACTTCACCATTAATATTTTAATGGTTTTATTTTTGGATTGTTTTTTCTTTTCTAAAGCAAGATGTGACTGTTTATTTTTTTCAGTTGTTTGGTGTCTGTTGATCCACACAATATGACTTAAATCTCATTCATTTGCATTAAAGGCATTGCATATAAAATGTTTAAATTCAGAAAATGCACAGTTCTAAATAAATAAGATAATTTTGAAATTGGTGCCAGCAGCACATCTCAGTGTCACAATTACCAGTGTGTAGCATCCCTGTTTCTTTTAACAGCTGCTTATAAACATCTGGGACCTGAGGGGATCAGCTGAACCTTTGGCAGAGGAATGGTGTCCCATTCTTGTCTGATATAGGTTCTATCTGCTCGATAGTCCTGGGTCTTTTCTCTGTTATTTTTCATTTTATGATGTTCCAGATGTTTTCAGCTGGTGAAAGATTCCAACTTCAGGAAGATCACTGCAGGAGCAAGGCTCTTCTAACAGTCTATTGAAGCCACACTGTTGTACTTGTAATACAACTGTAATTGTATTGCTGGAATATGCACGGCCTTCTCTGAAAATGACATTGATGGGTGCCCAATGCATCCCTGTACCCTCACAGATGCAGGTTTTTAAACTGAGCATTGATAACAAGCTGAAAAGTTTCTCTCTGCTCTGATTTCCCAAAAGAATTTCAAATAATAGTGTTCCTCCAGATGTTTCTTTTTAGTACACTTTTTCATCCTTTTTTCCCTCCTTGTCTCAACTTTTTGAAATTTTTGCTGCCATCTAATTCAAAATGAGCTTCCCAGATTAAACATTTAGTTTTCTGTCTTCTACTATGAATGGCATATGGGGTTAAGAGATTTGCAGGTCATTGCATTCTGTTTTTGTTGACATTTTATATAAAGGCCCAGCTTTTTAGAATGTATTCTTTCCTGTCCTGTTTTCCAATTCAGGGCTCAGCTGAAGCGATGCCGGTGAACGCTCAGGTCTTGACCTTTCAGGTGACGTCGTCCGACTACCTGCTGGGCGTGGCCGACCTAACAGGGGAGCTGATGCGGATGTGCATCAGCAGCGTCGGCAATGGCGACATTGACACACCCTTCCAGCTAAGCCAGTTCCTGCGGCAGATCCACGATGGTTTCTCCTACATTGGGAACACGGGCCCGTACGAGGTGTCCAAGAAGCTGCACACGCTGCGGCAGAGCCTGGGCAAAGTAGAAGACGCGTGCTACACCCTACGCGTCCGTGGCTCAGAGATCCCCAAACACATGCTGGCAGACGTGTTCTCCAGTCGGACCACACTCATCGACCCCGAGGAAGGAGTGGTTTAATCCCGCACTGCTTCAATGACGCTCTTCTCTGTGGTCTCATTGTCTGGTTTAGTTTAGCTCCATTTGATGTTTGTGTGCAGTTTTAATGGGATTTCACTGATGTTTCTAGTGTTTTGTGACATGCTTGTTCATTTTTTATTATTACAATAACAACAGTGTTACAATAGACAATGGATTCTCTTTTGTTCGATAAAGATCTGATGGCTTCAGTTGTTTTGCATGAATAAAGGTTCTGTGCCAAATATGCCATACTCCCTGAGACTTTAAGCGTCTTTGAAAATATGTGTTCATTTTATTTTCTCTCTCTCTCGCTGCCCTTCCCTCTCTCTATCACACACAGATAATCTAAGGTAGACCCACTGGCTGTCTGCACTCTTCATTCAGTGTGGAGGAGGAACATGTGACCTTTGCACATTGCACACCCCTATTCTCCAGCAGACACACACACACATACTCACAAACAACCCCTTGTCTCCTTCTTCTACCCTCTTCAAACACTCCGTCCCAGTGCAGTGACGTACACTTAAAGTGAGATTTGGAATGAGAGGAGGAATATTCCTGGTAGAGAACTGATATCATGCTTCACCTCATGGTGTTTGTTATTGTACGGTGACAAATGAGCCACCATGCTAAGAAAATAATGATAGCATAGTCTGTTGTTGAAAATAGATACCTTTATTCACGATAGGGCCAAAACAATTTTATTGCCAGATTTCACCTCAGAGAAAATGTTATTTTATGATTCACATTAGTCACCTTTAGGTCTGTATACATATCACATTTTGATCACACATACATTAGAAAAACAAGACTATGACAAATTTTATTTTGTACAAAAACGTAGGCTATTTGTAATTAAGTAATTGTTTTGTATTGATATGAACTAGATCATTTTGATATTGTATAAGTTCGTCCCTTTTTATGACTCTGTAAGAGAGAGAGTCCAAATAATTTAGGTCTGCCATCTGCTGGGCAATTTCAGAACGGTGTATACAAACAGATACATGTACGAGGAAAATAAAGTTTTGGCCTCCTTTTACACTCCAAAGAAAAGCAATTTGTTTACGAAGGAGATGATCAGCCACCAGTGGTTAAAGAGGGGGTTATGGGTGGCACTGGAAATTATAGCAGGAGATGATAAGGGGGTCTAACTCCCCATTTTCCTGTACAAATAAACGTCCTCCTCTGCTTCACTGTGAATATACAAATCTAAATCTAAATAATACTACATGCAGTGACTGTTTGACTGCATGGGTATATTGCATGAACCTCAGTCCTCTACTTACTATTCCTAACTGCTTTACTTTGTAAAACTATAACTATACCATATCACAGTGGTTCCATTACCAAACCATTAAATCTTGTGCTTAAGTGCAGCCATTATATTATTACTGGGTAACTACATCTCCTAATTTGTGCAACAGGAGACGTAGTTATCTCCTGTGTAGTTATTACACAGGAGGCCTGTGCACATTATAATCAGTGTAACGCACTGATTTTTTTAATTCAGTGCGTTACACTGAATTAAAAGTGTAACGCACTTTACTTTTTACTTTTTAATTTACTTTAGCGCCCCATTTATATAAATGAATAAATAAATCCTGGAACAACCCTAATCCAGAGATTTGCTGTAAGTCTACTGTCTGGAATATGGCAGACCAAAACCACTCTTAACATCTTTGTCAGTGAGAGCTATAAAACTTACAATGATTTAGACCTTTGGCTTGGAAATGACTACTCTCGTGGCCATGCTTAAAACCTTCGTGGTTCCATACACAGGAGAAAGTCAAAAAACTGGCATGGACTTTTTTTATTAGGAGAAAAGAATGCTATTAAATCCACATTCAGACTATTTAAATGTGATACTATATATTTGTGTATACAGTGACATAAATATGATGGATCAAATGAATATTTTGTGAATACAACTAAATCAGGAAACACGTAGTCAGCCTATGGTTGTGGTTATGTATGAAATCAAAGTTGGATGAAAACGTGTATTTCTCAAGGTTTGATGTAAAAGTGAAAACGTGTACACATACTTTTGGGAAATGTAAGGAAAAAAGTTATTTCTTAACTTTATATAGCGGATAAACTAATATATCTGTGTGAAGTCTGACATCTGCTGGTCAAAGTCAGCAACACAGCTACAGCACTGTGAAAAATGCATGCGATGGATGCATTGAATGCATAGCTGATGAAGGGAAAGAACGAGCTAAACCTAACAGAGCAGGAGCTAATGTGTTATTAGTCAACAGCTACGTGTTTATCCTTTGATTAATTCATCTTTTATCCTTGCAGTCACTCTTTTCCTGATTGCTTAATTATTTCATAAAAGCCCTCATACATCAATACATAAGACAGATGTGATTACATCATTCTTATACATTTCATCTGCTCCCTTATAGACACCGCGGGTAATTTTAGCATCTTCTTTCTGGGTTTTTCGCACAATATCGTGTTTCTTATGTCTTAAAACTTATGGCACAGAGGTAAGCCAAAAACTAAAACTTGACAACTAAGCTAAAACTTGAGAGGTTAGTCAAAGGGCTTCTCCTGGAAACTAGCCAGCCTATGGGGCAGTGCGCTGATGTCAAAAATGCACCTCATGCAAACCTAATGCGCCTCTAATCTTTAACAAAGAGCAGGTGATGGCACTCTGCATGCCAGGCAACGTGTTTCATCCCTGCTCTTACCCCAGCTATGTGTAAGTACGTCCTGCATTCTGTCTATTGAACAGAGCTTTTTGTCTCTGAGTATTGTTCACGAGCCAGGCGAGCTGAATGAAAGGAGCACTGGGATGAGTGGTGTGTGAAGGGGTGGATTGAAAAGCCTGCGCCATGTGAGGTCTAGGCTTTGGTGCTACTCGCTGATTCCCTGAGTGCCGAAAGAAAGAGACACATTAAGATGTGTAAGGGAGTACAGACCTGCTACACTGTGATTTAAATGACTGAATCACACGCATCCTGTGTGTATACATTTGAACTTCATGGTATTTGTGACTTAATAGTAGAGAGATTGTATTTTTCTCCATAAATTTCCTCCACAAGCTTCAGTGACACTAAAATACAGCACATATAAACATAAACAACTGCGTTGTTTAATCCGGTTCCGTGTCCGCTGCTACTTCCACAGTGTGCCCGCTGTGGATATGAGGCGGTCTGAAGGAGTCTGGAGTCAAATTCCTGAACACGTAGGAGCTCCAACGCGACGCATGACGCAAGGGCGCAGCGACTAACGGATTACTGATCAACTGATCGATGTGTCGACTAACAGACAGATTTTCCTGGGCTATGTACTTCTGCCACTGCACACCACCGCTGGATGTGTTTTCCATACTTTCCCCACAAGGAACAGCACGACGTGAAGTCTTTCTCCAGACCGTCAGTTCAGGCGCAGCGGGACCCACTTGTTTCCAACAGGGGGAGAAATGTAAGAATCTGATGTACCATAAATGTTTGTGTCAAGAAATTTTCATCAGGGACAAAACAGCGCGCTGGGAAGCAGTTTTCACCCGTCACTCACTGTGTGCAGGGAAAATATAGCAGCCCGGGTTCACTTTTCCATAACGGAAATGAGACCAGTCGCTTTGCCTGGCTTCACTTCTTCTAAAACATGGTCGATGTAACTCTATGCAGGCTTGTGCCACCGGGGTCTGACTTTCTTTGACTTTTCAACACAAACAGCCTTTTTTAATGGAAAAATGTTCGCTGGACTGATGGGACTGGAATGCCACGGCAACTCTCTGCTTCACCGCCGCGAAACCATTCAAGGTAAAACACAAGATTTTTAACTATCCGCTGATGTTCTCACACCAACACTGGTCTTTTACAGGATATGTATACACCCCCAGGAACTCCATACAACTTTAATACACCGAAATTGGATAAAATAGTAGTATTAGGATGTACTAAGCCGGCAGTTTTTAGGGAGGGATAATCATCAGATGATTAAACAAAAGCAGAACAGCCGCAGTGAAGACTCATAGCCTGTTTAATAATGCATTGCCTGGAATGTGTATGAAAGTTCACAGTTCCCTGGATCATAAAAGTTTAAAGTCTCCCTACCAGCCATTCTTGGAGGAGTGATGATGAGTTGGAAATGATTACTTAAATAATATGTCCCCCACCTCTTTAGACAAAGTAGAGAAGCATTTTCCTGCGTATTGTCTCTATTTGGGTCTTTTAACATGTTTTATACAAATAAAATGGGCTTGACTAATAAATAGAAATGTGATCCAAGTCTGTTCACGCAGGATGCCGGTAATCAGACCTCCATTAGACCCATTTATCAGACTGTTATGATCTCGCCACATGCAACAGGGTAACTACTGCAGTTAAAAGGCTGCTAGATGTGGTAAACCTTAGATAAAAATCTATTTCCCAAAGTGCTTCCGAAACAGCTTCTGCTGTGAGTAGATTTTCCCTGGTTTCTGTTGTGTGACATTTTTGAATGAATCTAATCTACCAGAAATATCAAAATGCTTATTAAAGAGTATGTGCAGTGTATAAATGAATCTCTATAACACAGACTCAACTGATCCTCATGTGATTACAGTCTGACAAGAGCATAGCAGAGATGCAATCCTTGGAATATCCCCACCCTTCAACCTACCGTGCAAAATGGAGCGATAAGGACCAACATTTAGGACCAAAGATAGGAACTGGCATTGGAGCATACTGTATTGTTGGGTTTTCATCCACTTATGTAGTCATTTCTTTAGTAAGATGAATAGATATCACTGCTAACTTTCACTTCCCTTGTTTGTGACGCTCTGTTTGGTCACAAGTGGCGAGGTTTCGCACATCTGCCGAGCAGTGCTGCTTCTCAGGAGGTTGCTGACATGCAGATCCGCTTGTGTGTGTTGTGTGTCTGTGTGTGTGTGTCAGAGGGTGCTGAGCTTGTTCCTCAAATGTTTGTGTTTTTATGAGAGCCCCTGCATTCCTCTCTGTCTTTGGCTCAAGCATTTTCAGTGCCCAATTGGATGCAGTGTTTAACCTAAGGGTGCTGAGGAGGGCCTCTTTAATCTCCAAAGGTAAATAATCTCGCCTCTTCTGGCTGACATGCTTCTTTTTCTCAGGCTCTCTGTACAGTTTCTTCAGCACTGATAACATGCTACAGTGAGAATGCTGTTGCAGAGGGACTGTTTTATCTTTGGTGTTGAACCACTCAACGTCACTGCTTGCTTGTTTGTATATTCTGCCTGAATTCCCGGTGAACTATTTTAGCCCAAAGCCTGACAGGAAGTAGAAAATACCTCTGAGGGGCTTCAGCCAAAAAATAGATGCCCTTCTGACATACACACAAGCCAGCAGACACAAAACAATGGGCCCTGAGGCATTTCCTTCCCCTTAAACCGGGAAGAGCTCTCTTTGTGTAATCGAAGTATGGCGAGGATACAGTAACACCATCATGTCCCTCTTCTTTCGACTCTTAGTTGTTGTAAAGGGGTTAGTATCACATCTAGCCACACCAGATGGTAGACAGTGTGCGGTTGTAGCTGTAACCTACAGATGGTGTTGGGTTTCTTACATCAGTTATGGACCAGTAGCCACGTCTGCAAGGACCCTCTAATGGACCTGTGTGTAACCCGAGCTCTAAGTGACACTGCACACACACAAAAACACTGTGGCTACAATGGCAGCACCCGTGTGTTACTTTCACTTGAAATACTGCTCTCACTGGTGTCTATTTGAGTCTCATGGGATAGTTTAGGAGTGGCATCGTAGGAGGTTACTGGGTGTTGGGAAGTGGGCTGTGGTTTGCTCATCGGTCATGCTTTGTTCAATGCCATGCATTCCTGTCTTGATAATTGTGCTCCCACTGCAATAAACACATTATTTGTAGAGGTTTACAGTTGCGTAAGATGTTGTTTTTATGTGTTTGTTTGCGTTTTCTACTTTTGGATTTGTTTTTATCGTAGTTAAAGCGTTTAACAGGCTTTTACACTGACAATAGTACAACTGATCCCAGTGTTTTCAGCACTGTCAGTGTGCCTCTGTGTGTCTTCAGTGTTCGTGAGTGGGAGGAGAAAGCGAGAGCCAGAAGTGAAAGAAGGAGCAGCGCAGCTGTACACAAAGGGGCTGTTGATCCCCAGCATTTGAGCGCGCCTCCTCGTCTGAATCCTAAACATGATATGTATTAATCACGTGGCCCTGCAGCAGGTGTCTAACTCCCGCCACAATCTGGCCTTTATCATTACGCTCCACTTTCAGACCAAACGCTGTTTGCATGCATGTTTGTATCACTTCTTGTTACTAAGATTGGCAGTGTCTGTGCTTCACAAGCTATTTCGGTTATGCCCCCTTTACAAAAAACATGCATTTCGTAATAACTGAAAAGCTTTGAGACAAGCCTCCTCTCCTATGAGTGCAGTGCAAGTGGGTTTGATAAAGCGAGGGCAATCAGTATTGTTTTAAACAATCCTTCAGTTTATTGCTTTGGCTGGAAGACTCACAGGTTTTAACACCCCCTCAGAAACAGATCTCAGTTAAACTTTATCAGCCTTACTGCTTTAAGAAAAAGAGAGAAGCTGAATGGTTATAAAAACAATAGCATCATCAGTGCCGGTTTGTTAGTGGACCAACAGGAATCAGACCTTGCCTGTGTGCCCTTTGCCCTATATTTCAGTGAAATAGACCGATTTAAGGCTCCAGATCCAGGCGTGAACCCCCTGCTATGTTTTGAGAACCTTTCCTCTGAAGAATTTTGCTATTTGCAAAAATAAACAATTGCAAATCTAACCTCAGAATATATTGTTCATGCATCTGGTATCCCACAGAGAGGCATGTCTTAACTTATAAATGACTGTGCAGCTTTGGTATTTCCCAACAGCTGGAGCAGAACCCTGGGAAATGTCACACATCTACCCAATGTTTTTTTAAAAAAAAAAATTCAGTCCATTAGGCACTATCTTTAAAAACAAGGTCATTTTGCTGGATCACGGCTGCTTCGGGTACTTGTGTAATTAGTACACGTAGCATTACATCTTCCTGCTGTAGCCCATGGTTAATCCTACCAGTTCTATGAGGTCATGCGTTATCTTCCTCATGGCCATGTTGTCAAGCTTAATGGTTAATCTCTGCATCGACAGGTGGCAGAGCATCAGGGACAGCTGGCAGCTCCAGCCGTAAGAGGCTCCACCGAAGACCAGGGTACATGAGGGGAGAGCAGTGCAGACTGCAGAGCGCCACTCAGGAAGAGGAGGAGGATGTTGGGACAACCACTTTTATTACCAATGGAAAATCAGGACGTGACGCCGACATAGCTGATGCAACTAATGCTCAAAGGCCAAGTCCAGCTCCTGCAGACAGTGTGTCTTTAATAAATCATCAACAGCCTGATAAACACACGTGTAGCTCCTGGAAGACTCAGAGCTTTGTCTGTTCTGTTACCCACCCTCCTTCCCCTGTGGACTGCAATTCTAAGAGTACATCCAGCCATCTGGGCCAGTCCTCACTGCCCCACAATGAACTCAGGTTAAGTTCGAGCCTGGACACTCATTCAGAGCCAGAGGACTCTTTTAACTCCAGCTTCAGTTTCATCCAACAGTCACTTACCTCCAGCCAGAAAACAACCGCCACACCCACACGAGAACAAGAACTCAGTTCATTAACAAAAGCATATGACCTGCCTCAAACAAAACCCGAAACCTTACCTGTCGAGCACAATTTCTCTAAGCAGTCGTCTCCCGCTCAAACACTACCTGGAGGAAAGTTCTGGCGAGAATGCCTGTTTGCCACCCACGTAGAAAGATCCCACGTGCCCGACTGTGAGGCCCAGTCTATTGATATAGAGGCCACCTCCTCACTCTCCCTGGACTCGGACAGTACCTCTGCCTCCTCTGTCACCTCAGGCTACGAGAGCGCTACACCTGCCTTGGAGCAAGGCTGGGACAACCTGCTGAAGAAGTACGAGGGCGTGCTGCAAGACTGCCTCCAAAACAACCGCACTCACACCAAGGTGGGCAAGACAGACTCATGAAATCCACATATCAGTCATTCAAATTAATCTCCCAACAAGGTCTAGAGCAGCGACGTCAAACTCATCTAACACTGATTTTAAGTGTGGCGAACTAGTGAAACTCCACTTTCTGTTTAAAGTTTAACTAAACAATTTTCCCAGCAACACCTTAATATAAGAAGGAATTTCAACAGTATGTCTGTTCTATATGATAAATATGTAAAATAACAGAAAAAGTTCTGGCACCCCTCACTTTCCTATATTTACAATAATGTTATTTTATTTCTATAGTAGAAATTTCTATGATGGACATAGTGGATACAGGAAATACAGGAACTTCTCTGTCATTGAATTGTTTTTCTGTTATTTTTGACTATTTGGTGTAATATAGATTGCAATGGGGGTGGTGTTCGTCAATGGAAAAAGCTGTATATCTTAGGAAAATACAATTAAAAGCACAAAATCTATTCACTCCTTCATATTTTCCAAATTCTTCCAGTGGGCCAGATTGGAGTTTTTTCCGGGCCTTAGGTTTGACACCTTGGTCTACAGTCAAGATGAGACTAAACTACAGAGAGATGAATACTATATTAAATCAGGAAACCCGTATTTGCTTTCCTTACTGGTTCCAGCTCATACCTTGTTGGTAGATATGAAGCTACAGCCAGCAGCTGTAGCTTCATGTTGAAAAGGGAACGAGTTAGCCTTGTTTTGTTAACAAAATTCACCCAGGAGTTGAGTAACTCTGAAACTCACTAATCATCTGTTTATCCTATACTAAGTATCAGAACCAAGTTGCAATTTAAGACCTGGTCATGTATCGTGTTTGTTTGTTTACACTTCTTTTAGACGTTCAAGCTAACCAGCTAGCTTTTTCTAATAGCAGAACATTGTACTTACAGACTCCTCAGAGTGATGCTATATTGATGCTTTCTTGTTTTATTAAGAAAGACAAAAGCAAGCAGGTTTAGATTTTTCTGAAAGAGAAAACTAAGTATTCAACTCACCTACTTAACCAAACTTTTGGTTAACACTTTGCGATACTGCACATGAGTAAGGACATAATTCCCCTGAAATTAAATGAAATTTAAATATAGTTTATTTGAAAATACAAAGTAATTAAATTTACAAAGAAATACTTAAAGATAGGTACACTAGAATAAGGGAGTAAAAGGGAATAACTGCAGGTCTTTTATAGAAAAGAAGACAAATTATTCTGTAATTAATATTAAGTACTACCTAAGTACTTTTAATTAGTGTATAATTCATGCATTTTGCAAGAAATTAGAAATAATTGCATTGTGAGTATTTTACAGAAAAGCAAACAATATTTTCCTATCTTACATTCTAAGCTTGAAAGTGATAAAAATGACCCCATATTTCCTCTGATAAAAACAGATTTGAAACATTTTTCAGTATTTGTTACATCTGATAGAATCTTTCAGGTCCTCCTCAAAAAAAGTAAAACGTTGAAGTACTGTGGTCAAGTTATTGTTAACGCCCTTTCCTCAGCTTGCTGACCCAGTATCACTTTGACCTGACAGTCATTACACCCACCTTTTTTCTGCATGTATTGACTGTTTAAAAGGCGATGAACTCTGGAGTTACTGTTGTGTAACCTGTTCTGTCTTCTTGCTGTCTCTCAGATTGAATCCATGATGTTGAAGCTGCAGAGGCTCCAGCAGAAAGCAATTCTGGACGACGATTATGACGCAGGTAAACCAGTTTAGCCATTTCGGTTAAGGTTACAAAATAACGACTTTATGAATGATTTGATAAGATTCTATTTATCTTTTTACTATTTGTTTTTAAGAAGTTAAAGTTTAATATCACTAAACACAATAACTTAAAGTTAGAGAAAAGAGCACAGTTCAAAGTGAAAATATTCTGACTCGGTGACCAGAAACACGTGCTGTCCTTCTAACTCATGAGTGAGCTTTCACTCACATGTTTGGATCATTTATCACTTTGATGTCAGCTTCTTTATTAAATTTCTTGCTAATTTGCTGTTCACCATACTGAGATGACCTGTGTGAAAGAACATGTGAGAGATGAGGCACAGAGCTTTTTAGTGCTGACTGTTTCATACATACCTCAGTAAGCTTTTTCCATGGTTGACTTACCTTTATTTTTATTTTTTTTAACTATCCTATAATGGTAAAACTAGAAAATCTTCAATTTATGTGGCTTAAAACAGAAAGTAGCACAGTTATTATGTCGACTCAAATCAAAATAAAGGGTATTTACAGAGAAATAAGGGAAGGTTTTACAGAAAAGTTTACAGGAAGGGGTTCCACGTGATTATTGCAACGAAACAACAAAGCCTCAAACCTAACAAATATCATTTGTACTTGTACCTGACCTAGATATTGTAAAAAAAAAAATATAAACAATCAAACCAAAAACTGCATTTTAACCCATTTTTTTTATTTTGTGATAGAACAAATACATAAGATAAATCTGCTTCTGTGGTTAACACATTTGCATTACACACAGAAGATCCCTGGTTTGATATCAGGAGGCAGAAATCACTGGGAGGGTTTTGTCAGGAAAGGCATCCAGCCTAAAAACCCACCATATTAAAACCATGTGTGTCTATCTGCATGTGGTGACCCCTGTGAATAAGGGAGCAGCTTAAAAACAGGTTTAAATACACATGTTTCTCTTTCCTGTAGATCTGTTCGAACGTGCTTATTATTTGGGTCAGTGTTGTATGCCTTGGCTGGTGTTCTCCTCGTCTATTCATTCTCTGACTTATACGTTTAGTTTTCTGTTTTTCCACTTGCACAGTGTTGGATTAAATAGCTGATGAGATTGGTTCTGTAAATTCTGTCTATGTATGTTGTGCTTGCCATCTTCTAATTTAGCTATGAACCCGCCAGACTGGGATAATTCTAGTTTTAGGGTCATATGTGTTTACAGAGCCAAGAAATGCAGATTTTTATTCAGGATTCATAAATACAGCAAGGTCAGAAATGTGCTCCCTTTAAATGACTTCTAGTAAAGGGCTAGAACACAACACCACTTGCTGATAACTGGACTCCTCTAGCTGATGTTTTCTGCATGTTATTCAGCATGTGTGTATGTGTGTTCACAGCTGAGCGCTTTGGGAAAAAGTTAGAGGAGCTGTCTAAAGAACGAAGCACTCTGGAGCTGGGTTTACCCTCCCAACAGCCCAGCGTGGCGTTGCTCCTGGAGAGGCTCAGACAGGCGGTGGACAGCGCCCTCCAGAGGGCAGACTGCAGTCAGCACAGGTCGGTGCTGGTTTGATCATGTAAACTGAAACACTATATTTAAAACGTTAACTGCATACAATATATAAGTGGAAAATAATATGAAATGTCGTTACACTGAAAATTACTTTTCCTGTTTTGTTTAGGACCTCGTTTTATATTGTGTGTCACTAAAACAAAAAACTGATCTACTTTTATTGCAATAAACTCCCTTTGTTCAGGACATAATGGGGTTTATTTGAGTTCATAAGCTCATTCTCTCTCTTTTGTTGCAATATTGTAGCACAGATCAAAGAGGGGGAGCTCTCCAAAATAGCTCTTGCCACAGGAAGGAAATCAGGTGGGGCCTCTTCAGAGAGTATCCCGAACAAATATAAGCAAAAGGATTTTAGGTCACCTCTGATAAACAGCAGATTTTCCACTGTCACAGAGTTATTTGATGAGAATCTGTGGGAAAAAGTGATTACACACAACCATACTGTATATTACTCATCTGCAACTCTCTTTAGCTTTGACTTACAGAGATTAAAAGCAACATTAAACCTCCTGAAAATGTTAATCAAAGCTGTTAAAAATGGTGTCATTTTGTGGCAGGGAGTGTGCAGAGCCTGTTGCAGGGGAGCAATCCGACTCATCACAGGGTCCACTGCAACGAAGAGAACGTCTGATACGAGAGAGACGGCTTGTCGAGGTAAATTCGGCTCACGTCGTTCCACTTTGTACGTCAGGCTGGTCTGAGTTACTGCTCCTCTGAGAATTTAATAAAACAGCTTCTTTCCTTGCTTACAAAAGTGAATGAAATTTGTAAAATATGCATAGCTGTCAGCAGTATTTACACTGACAGTGAATGAGTGTGAACAAGATTAACTAATCTCACTGCTACTTTAATATCAAACAAACTATTGATTAACGATTCTGAAAAAAGCTAATAACTCACCAGTCAAGTTTCCTTCAGTTTCAGATTAGGTATTTGAATGTTTCATTCAATCTGCTGGCTTAAAAAACTGAAGTACTACTTCACTGTTACTGATTACCTTCATAGAAACGATGTTATTTCTAACATACATGTAAAATGAATGAAATGAACATTGCTCCACCCCTGCAGGAGGAGATCGCAGAGCTGCAGCAGAGACTGGTGGAGCTGAAGGACCGTAGCCGGTGTCTGGAGCAGCAGATCCAGCAGGAAGAGCAACAGGTGGAGGCTGAGGAGCTGGAGGCCTCCGTGCTGAGGAGCTGCAGCACGGCTCAGCTTCGCGACATGAGCCGAACCCTCCAGGACCTCGTCGCTTCTGAAAATCGCACACAAATCTCAGTCTCTCGTCCTCCCTCCATGCTCAGGTCAGCGCCATATATGTGATGATTTGCTTGCTTAAATGTCACATTTGTGACATGAAAGGCTGTGTTTGCATGAGCCGGAAAAAAAGGAAGTGGAAAAAGTGCAAGTGGAAAAATAGAGAACTAAAAAGTTGTGTCTTTTTGAGCATATTTAATAATAATGCTTTCATTTTATCTGAGTGGTTGCATGAAAGAATTTCAAATTTAGAGCCTCCTTTAGCCTCCTTTACAAAGCTGCAGGTAATGAATGACTGAAACATGATGTTCCCAGGAACAGAAATTTACAAATGAGGATAAAATTATTTGCCTTTTCAACCCAATCCCGTCATGCACAATGACATGCTTTAACTCTGTATTCCTCAAAGCTTACAAAAAACAAGTTAAAAACGAGAGTTATCCTCCAATTTACACACAGTATATAAATCTTCTCTGCCTCTAAAAAAGCACTGAGAAAGACCGGAACGAGAACTAGTCAGAGATGAGTCTAAAGAGCCCAGATCAACTGCCACGCTGAAATGTGCTAAGAACAACCTGGAGAAAGATTGTTTATACTGGAAGTGCATCCTTTGGTGAGATGAGATGAAATTAGAGCTCTTTGGTCACAGAGAGAAGGGAGAGGCCCAAAACAGCACCGTCCCCACAGTGAAACACAGTGGTGGGAGTGTTATGATGTGGGGATGATTCAACGTTTCTGGAACTGGTAATCTCCTCAAAAACACTTCATCACTAGTAATTCTGTCCTCATCTGTATTTAGGGAAAAACTTCAAACGAGGGAATCAAAGCCTTCACTGCAGATCTTTGGACGTATTAAAGGCGTTTTGCTCTCCAGGATCTGCTTCTGCTAGCAAGCAGAATAGTTAAGAAAATGTGCAAATGTATGTGAAAAATGGAAATTGAGGTCTTGAGCACTGAGAAAACATTTTCACACCTTTTGAATTTTGCACGTCGGTATTACAGTTTCTCCTGTCGGTCGTTGGACTCTCAGTTTGATTGGTCGAGCCGGATCTAACACCTGAACTGTGAAAAGTGTCCGCTGATTGGGCCTTTACATGCATAACCTTTACTCAGAACTAGTTTGAAGGTAACATAATTTGTGTTGTTGTGTCAATTTGATGTATTTCTACTTACATATTTATATGCAATAGAGGAATCGGCACAGCGTATGTCAGGAATGAGGAAAACAAGCCCTGAAGCTGACAAATTGCCAAACATCACAGCATCCTCCATGACAGCCATTTGTTTATCCACTTTATGATGGTTTCCTCCTCTGACAGCAGGAGGACTGGAGTTTTAAACATAATTCTTTACTGTAAATGTAGAAGAAGTATTTTTGTTACCTGACGCCAGCTTAATAGACAGGTAACGTTTATCCAGTGCAGTCAAAAGGTTTTGTACTCTTTCATTTTTCATCAAAACTCCAGGAGATGCATCTCCTTATTTAATCTTACTCAAACTGTACAATAAAAGCCAGATTTGTATTTAATATTACTTTGATAAAAATATGAAAATATCAATTAATTTGGGCAAAATTAGCCACAGTAATGATAATTTAACCTCATGCAATATCTTGGTGTGGTTACTATGCATAAAGCATTTGTTTAGTACAAGTCTGTCAGATGTGCTCACTTCTTATGCAGTAGTCAGTATTTGTATTTGTGCAATTCCTGGAATGGCCAGGTGGGGCTGCTATAGAGCTGCAAATGCTGGTAACCATGCAACAGTCTGTCCATAGGTTTTTTTCTCTTTCATCATGTTACATACATTTAATTAGCCCATTTTGAAGTTGATGTGTCAGTGGCGATCTGCTGTTTCTAAGTCATTGCCTCCCAGCTTCATCCATCCACAGAGAAAGCGACACTTTGAATAAATCTTTCAGCAGAATTGTCAAAATCACACCATCACGTTTCAATCAAATCAACACCTCCAGTAACAGCACAGAAGACACCTAGCCTTGCATTTACATGAATCATTACCCTTTTTATCAGCTTACAGGCAAAATTGCTCACTTTGTTCGGTGATCGACAGGTCTGCCCATGCAGCACTGGATGCCTATTGTTCCTGGAGAGGTTCAGCTCATGTATTTCAGGTCTTTAGAAACAAAAGCCACTGACAAATGGATGTAATATAAAGCAGTTTGCAGCCCTTTAGGAGTAACTTGTTTCTTAGATTCAGAGAGGACAGCTACTTTCCCCCTCCTCTTATCCCACGTGCCTTCAGTCTTCTTCTCTCACACCTGCTTGAACCTGCTTTGAATTTTAATGGTTTTTTTCTTAGATGCTAATGATTACTTTGCATCATATCCTCTGAAGTTAATAGCTTGCAAGGGAGCACTGTGGAAAGCCTCTCCGTCTTGCCACTCGTTAGAAAGACATGTAAATTGTACTTATCGCCTTCTTGGCGGTGTGACCCACCACCACTGGCATAATTTGATATCTGGCTTATTCTCACCCCAGCTGAAACGCATTTATTCTCGTTGCTGATTGAAATTGCGACCTCAGATTGGATATTCAGCTGCACATCTGTGGGTGGCTTGCCACGGGTCACCGTGATTGTGTTGCAGTCGCCCCTTTTCCAAACAACACAGGATATTTCTGTCTCGTATCAGGTTTTTTTCCACACGAATACTGAATGAAAGAAATCCACTCGGCGCTATAAGACTGATGTTCAGAGACAACATTTAACTCTGACTCACTCTGAGCATCAGCTTGAATAACATGGAGTGGACATAATGATTTTTGTGAGACAATTGGGACTGTCTCAAGGTGACTGTACTGTGCATAATGGATTTTATGCTCATTTTTCTCCATCTTGTAATTGATTTAGATCAGTCACCAAGTGGTGTGACCTTAATGGGTTGTCCTGTTTTCCCTTATTGTCTGAAATATTGGGCTAGAGTTGAATCCAACAGGCCAGTTAAAGAAAACACAAATATTGAGCCATATTTTATAATGGAAGGTGTTTTTCAGGTTCAGTCTTCTCTTTATTTTGATGTAGTTTATTTCAGGTCAGTATTCCAAAAAGGGGCACACTCGCTCACAGCGTTTCTCTTTCTTACGCTAAAGTAAGCCACCCAGATGCAGGCTCAAGCTTCACTGGTTACAGCATTTGATTTCAAATGCAAAATTTAAAGCTCGTGTCCTCACAATGCAGGTCTCTTATGCTCGTGTTTGCACACAGTATCAGCTTATATGTATTTTTTTACAACCTAAGATCAACAGCGTGCAAAGAACTTACTCTGTATGGAGATACCCGCAAGTCTTTTATCTTCTGTATGCCAAGATGTTTAAGAAGCTAAGAGAAGTAAGAAAGTCTTGAGCTAACCCACATGAACTTGAAATTTGGTGGTGATGGTATGGCCACCTTTATTCTTCAACACAGCCTGAGCTCTTAGAAAGACGTTCTTGTAATTTCTTTAAGTAGTCTTCAATATAGTTCTCCAAGCTTCTTTAAGGACTACTTTGGATGTTGGCTGCCTTTTTGTTTTGTTTTTTGTAAAGATGATCCCTCAACTCTTCATTAATGTTGAGGTCTGGGCTACAGGGAGGCCAATCCATGACTGATAGTGTTCCACTGTGTGTTTCTCTATCTAGGTATGTTTTTATTGCACTGGCGTTTGGGATGATTGTCATGCTGAAAAATGAAGCTGTTGCCAATCAGACGCTTTCCAGATTACATGGCCAATCAAAATCTGATGGTACTTTCCTGCGTTTATAATTCATCCCCATCACTACTGGCTGAAATGTGGCCACACACCATGACGGAGCCTCCACTGTGTTTTACTGCTGGCTTTGGACACTCACTGTTGTACTTCTCTCCTCACCTTCTTCGTATATGCTGATGAAGACCTTTTGCCAATGAAACTTTCTTCTTTAACTGTCTAGATAGACAGTTATATGTTTGCCACATCTTGCTTTCTCTTTAACTTGTCAAGGTTTTTAAGGACACTGCACACTATGTCTGCACACTATTCAACTAAACAAATGTGAACAAATAATGTGTTTTCATGACAGGCTGCTATGTTATCATATGTGTAGAGTACAACACTGGTTCAGACCTTAAATTAGATTTCTTTTTTTGTCCGTGAATGATTCATAAGTCAGTTTTAAGTGGCTTAACAAATAAAAAGCTGTTCCTCTGAGAGTGGTCAGGTAAAAGGACTGGACTAGAAATGATAAAAATATGGCCAATGTCTAAAGAAAGACCTCGAAAGACCTTTAGAAAGCCAGGAGAACGATTCCTCAAGAGCACTTTAAAAGACTGCAATCTAGATAATTAGCTGCAAAATATAACGAAATGTCTCACTTTTGTGCAGGCCTGAACTGGTCGTTGAATATTTGCTCCCATCCACTGGAAAAACACTCTCAAGACTTTCCTTTAAAAAGTTATCCAAGGTTCAGTGTGATAGTTGTTAGTTTGCGAACCGTTAAGCGATTAGCTGCCCGATGAGTAGAAGCTAAAAAAAAAAAAAAAATACAAAAATCTAGATTGGAACAGGAGATAACTCCTGATTTCATCCCCAAAATGGAAAAAAATTACCTTTAGTCCTGCACTGTGACATTTATGTTTTTATTTTGCAGACTCCAGGAGCAGGAGCAGGCATTAAATCTGTCCATTAAGGAAGCCACTGCTAAGGTAAGCCACTGTTCCGCTGACTTGATTTATTCTATAACATCTCATTCTCTTCTCAGCATGTCGATGATGACTGAATGTGTGTGAATATCTAATAAGCAGTAAGTCAAAATACACATTATGTGTCTTGTGCGAGCTTTGGTGTTTTCAATATATGTACTAAATGTCAGTATCTGTATTCATGAGCTTGTTTCTCTTTGACAAGGCAGTAAACTCTCCAGTTTTTTTGCGAGAGTCACAGGAGTTGTCATTTTGAATAAATCCTCCCTAAATTCTAAATCATCTGTAAAATTATTACAACACCTGATGATGAAAAAGCTGTCCGATTTGCTTAAATGCACACTTTTAAAATCAACTAAATGAGTAAAACATGGCTATCGTAGTGATTTGAAGCCCGTGTCCGTTGTTTGTGTGTATACCTGGGTTTGCATGCTGCTGTGTAACTAGAATTCACTCATGCTTATCAAGGGTTTGCTTTTCCTTTGTGCTTCCTGCACAAAGGAAGCACAAAGCTGCACACGGTGTAATCAGAAGACCATAAGAAGCAAAAACTTGATTTGGATGTAGCAGCGGTTCCTGTTAATGTTGAGATTTTGCACCACTTCTGTGCTGCTACTGCATTTAGATCTCTCTTGCACATATGCATCAGTACAGATGCTAAATGTGCCGTGAGAGCGGTCAGTGTCTGTCTCAAACTGACCTGAATTTTCATGTCAAAGATGATCACTGGTGATGAGAACTGAGTCAAATAGCCTCGGGTATGACTTTTAACACGGAGTTCATGTGGTTCAACTGTAACATCCTGAGGCATCTGCAAGAGTACATGTAGAGTAAACAACGTCAGCTTTAGTGTGTTTCAGTGTACCACACTGTGGGTTCTAAATACTCTAATCCCCACATCTGTTTACCTGTAACATCTCTCCTCTTCCCCAAAAAGCAATTCATCATTTGGGGTTGCTGTGCAGTGCGTGTTGTCAGATTGACACTTTTAGGGTGAGGTCCAAACCATGAGCTCATCTATACCTTGCTAGTACTGGATGATGTTGGACATCCATTAGCCTTTATTCTTTGTAGCACAGATTCAACAAGCTGCTGGAAACATTTCTCTGAGATTTTGGTCCATATTGACATGACGGCATCACACAGTTGCTGCAGATTTGTCGGCTGCACATCCACGATATGATTCTCATGTTCCTCCACAACCCAGAAGTGCCCTACTGGATTGAGCTCTGGGGACTGTGGAGGGCATTGAGTACAGAGAACTCACTGCCATGTCCACGAAACCAGTTTAAGATGATGTGATCTTTGTCACATATGTTATTCTGCTGGAAGCAACCATTAGAAGATGGACACACTGGTTATAAAAAGGTGAGCGTAGTCAGCAACAGTACATGCTCAGTTGGTAACAAGGGGACCAAACTGTGCTAAGAAAATATCCTCCATATTATTACACTTCACAGCATCGCTTTCCTGTTCTTAGCTGACCATTTCGTTCACCCAGTGTGGTCTTCTGCTGTTTTTGCCCATATGCTTCAAGGTGAATGTGTTGTGTTCAGAGAGGCTCTTCTGTATACCTTTCTTTGTGACGAGTGGTTATCTAAGCTATTGTTGTCATCCTCTGTACTCTGGCATATTCATTCAGACATACTTACTAGTTATTTTCTTTTTTTCAGATATTTTTATCCAGAAACTAGATGCATAGAATAAGGAGAGAGAAGTTAGCTTACAGAGTTAGCTCTGTAAAGCTACTGTCACTGAGTCTTGAAAGCCATCATCAAATGACTGATTGATGTTGCCGCTGCACCTGAAAGAAATGTCGTGGGTTTCTACCCAGATATACATTTACCATCATCACAAAGTACCCATTGTTAAGCTAAAATGAGAAGTTTGGTTCCTAGATGATATATTCACCAAGTAGAAAATTGCTCACCTGCTGTAACAAAATGATTGCTGACATGAAAGTGACTTTTTTGAAATTGACAAATAGCCTGATGTTTTGAAATTAAATCAGCGAAGTCAGAATTTCTACAGTTTGAAAAAGCACTCAAAAAATATTTTCACTTCATGTAATGCATGAAATAAAATTATACAAGCCCGTTTGGAGAAAAAAAAAATCCGCTTTCTACACTTCTGTGCGGAGAAAACTCTCCGGGGATGTTCTGCCTCGGAAATAACAGTCTATTTGACTGCCTTTTCAAAGTGTTGCACATAACTGTGTCAGATTTAAGGAAAACATGCGTCAGAAAATCTGGATCAAATCTCTTTGAGCAGTGAAAAAAAAAAAAAGAAAAACAGTTCCTAAAAAGAAGGAAGCGGATCGTGGGGATTGTAGCTGTGGTTCAAAGTGTATACAATGGAAATAACAGAGGTTTAAAGGACAGGGTGAGGGCAGATGAGGGCCAGACGGGCTGATGGAGACCATCAGCTCCTTTGTGAATACTCAGGGCTGAGGTGCCGCATCCCCATCAGGCTGTGACATTCAGGGGCCTTTTCCTCTCTGACTTTCTAATGATATCTTTTATGAGGATTTCACATTTTCCAGTCTGTCCATGTGAAAGGAGAAGCACTCTCTTTCTTTCTAAAGGTTATAGACAGAGGTAACACATCGGCGTTGATGCTCTGCTGTGTATTCAAAGCAGAGCGAACACAGAAGGACGGAAATGAATTTGTAAGGTCTTGTAAGAATGAGTGTCAAAAAGAAAATGAAAGTGGAATTGGAAATGAGCTTTGCCTCCTGTGGGATCCATGTGTCTGCGAAGGTTTTGTTAGTTACCGCCCTCCCCCCCTGCTCTCTCCTCTGCATGTTCTTCTCTTTCTTTTCCTCAGGTGGTCATGAGTCAGAGACTGGGCAGCAGCCTAAGGAGGAAAGTCAGTGAGACTGAAACACAGCTTTTGGCACTACATGAAGCCAAACTGGCAGCCATCTCAGGTAACTTTCCACTCAACCACACCCCACTACATCCCTGCTGCATTACCCTTTTTTTTAATTTACCCCATTTACTTGGCTCACCCACCATTAGCCTCACTTAATTACGCTATTAATGATCAAGAAGCTCGTTAATGGACGTTGTAAGCATAATGTGTTCCCGTGGTGCACCGGTGCAGGTAATGACTTCAGCAGTGCTAAGGAACTGAAAGCAGAGATGAAGGCGGTGTACCTGGAGCGGGACCGGCTCGAGGCTCTGGCCAAGAGGCTGCACAGCCTCAGCTCAGGGAGCAGCCAGGAGCTCGCCAGGATGAAGGAGCAGCGGCAGCAACTCAGACAGGAGCTGGAGCAGAGGGAGGCCCAACATGGTGAGTCACAGAGGCTACCCAGTATGACTAACAACATCAAACCCTTGTCTTTACTATTGTTTAATTAATATATAAATATACAACACTGTTACTTTATTAATTTTTGTTTGTTTTTTACAAGGAGCAAGACTTTATCGCAATTTTTAAAAAGTGGTCTCGAGCAATAGTTCTGCAGGTTTTTCTTTGGGCGTTGCTTTTTCATTCATTTTCAGTCCAGTACCTGATCACTTAACACTGAACTACAAATCACTGAAGCATAAAAACTGTGCCTAACGGTGCAAAGGATGAACCAGTGTTGTGCCTACAAACAACTTAGCATGAGAACACAGTTTGAAGGGCATAAAATAGTATTTCTGCACTAACAAGGTGATTCCCAAGAAGCCGTTAGCTGGAATCTTAGCATATTTCAGTATGCCGCTGGATAAAAGAAAACATTTGGCCTAAAAACTGTGTACAGTAGATGAACAGGATCTAAACACGTTATGTCCTTAGAAAAAGACCTGACACAGGACCTGTGAGAAACATCTGGCCCTTCAATTTATCCAGCTGCTGAAGCCTCATCAAAAATGGTCTCCGTGAAAGGGTGGCTGTCAAGAGGAGGCAAACAGTCCAGCCAAACATTGACTTTCAGGCTTGTTAGAACTGTACAGAGTCTGTTTGGGGCTTATATTCTGTATTTCCATGTGTAGATTTCAATAAACTGCTGCATTTTTTGCCCATTATGGTATTACTTAAAAATCTATGTAGATATATGAAGTTATATAATTTGTTGAGAAGATAAATCTCACACAGGTGAATAATAGCATACTGTTAGATTAATAAAATGTTCCTACTAGCTCCAGTAAGGCTCTACATGAAGCATAGCTTCTTGTTTATTTTGTAACTGAAATGTAAAAAATTACCATTCGGTTTAATGGGGGATTAAATCTGAAGTAGGGGCTAAATAGAAACCACTTTGGTTCCACACATAAAATTCCAGTTAATTTTATTTGCATATGCAGGATTCTGTGGCTCATAGTTGCAGCTTTTACAACAAAAAGTGTCCTGGTTAAATCGTTAGCACAAAAGAGTATGAACTGTGCTAAATAAGCAACAGGTTTTTGGAGAAAAGCTCCAGAGTACACACTTATGACCATAAAATCTATATCGCAATTTTAGTTTTAGAATTCCCGAGGCGTGATTAACCACAAAACATCCAGTCAGTGAGCTCAGGAGTCACTTTCATGCTTCTTAAGAGGAAAAACCATCGGTGTTAATAAAACTAAGAGCACTGCTTGCTTAAATGAATCCTTTCCTCCAGCCCTCTATTAGAAACAAAAATGAATAAAACTGGTCGAAGGAACATATTGATATGTTTGTATTATAATTATTAAGCTAAATACACAAAACTAACTAACATATTACTTTTCAAGTTGACATCATATTGTCATTCATTCAGATTGTGTTTCTGGCCTTCAGCTAGCACAGCTGCCTGCCCTTCGGTGCTCGGCAGGTTGTGTACACTTTGCCTTCTATGATTTTTGGGTTTTTTTTGCTGAGAACAGCTGTCTGCTGCATCTGGAAACAAGCCTGATTCGAGCAGCAAGAGTGAACGAAACCTGTACAATAAGACAAAAATCTGAAAAACTGTGAAAAAGCTCAAGAAACAAAAAGTAAGCTTAAGAGATGTTTGTGTAATAATTCTCTTTGGGACATTATATGTACACATTTGCTCCATTGTTAACATACAAACAGTTATTATAGTAGCTTAGAATAAACATTTTAAAGCATGAATATGAATGAGTGCAGCATTACCTGAAAAAGCGCTGTTCTTTTTTTCCCCTGCCCACTGAGGCGTGAAAGCGTTTGTTGTGTACTTGAAAGGCGCCTCTCTTTTTCTTTGAATACACTTTTTAAATATCAGTTCAAAATGTGAATCATGAGAGCTCTTTGAAAGACGAGTCGCCTCTTGATGTTGCTCCACACTGTGAGAGGACATCAATGAACAATGACTTTTTCTCCAAAATGAAGCAAAAGTGATCTGCTGTCAGCGGGGGAATCGGCTTCAAACGAGCTACCAGCAAGGATTGGCAGTCGCGAAGAGGCGAGGTGGCGAGGGTGGTGCGAGGGAATTGAGCTTTAATTGTGTAAAGTTAGCCGGTTGCCTTCGAGCCAGTGTGCGCAGACATGATGCATCAGCGTTCACACGCTCTCCAACTGGATTAAGATCTTAAGGATTAGGGGCTTGTCTTTTTAAAAAATGTTTATTCTTTTTTTTTAGGGTTCAGTCTTTAGATTGATTTGGCGTGCCGGCATTTGGTAGAGATCTAAATGGATTTTGACGGCACCACCTGCAGTAGCACTCTCTCTAGTCCATCAGTCACAGGGAGATTTCTAAAAAAGGTCACTTCCCTTACTGAGACACGCAGACGGGAGGATGAGGGGAGGGCGGGAGGGGTGGTGAAGTGATGGGGCTAGAGCAGGAAGTGAAGCGGCATCAGACTGAAGCTAATGCTACAACCTCCCATCTACCATATGCTGTTACCCAGATCATAAAGATTTGTGGCTGGAGCTTCACATTTAATGCCATTGTCCTGTCCTGAATGCACCCTTTCCTGTCACTAGGGGGCACCCTTTTATTTTTGTACTCCATTGTTCAGGCTCAGTTGCATGAAGTTTTTAGGGGGTTGTATAGTAATGCATAGACTTGCTATTTTAGTACATCCAGTCTATAATTGTATATCATTATAGGAGAAAGCAGCTCTTTTCCTTTCAAAGTGATTATGTTTCATCGACCTCCACTGGATTTTTGTTGTGGAAGCACACCCAAGAACACCTCGGTCTGCTTGACAGCCAGGGATAACACTGATCTCTTCCACGACAAGCATCACCACGTTCGCCTCAGCAGCCTAAACGCAGCGTGCGTGTGTGCCTCATCTTGAATAATGTAGCTCTGCAGGCTGGGAAACCAGTGGTACGAAACTGCGGCGGCTAAACAAAGGATTTGGAGTCAGGTGGTAACACGTCACAGAGAAGACGGCAAGTTAATGATTGGTTGCGCGGCGTGCTCAAACGCTCAAGTGGGCGCACACAATATGGCAGCAGGCGCAATTTCAAAATGTGTTGCTGACACCAAGCAAGGGGCTCATTAAACTGTCATCCTATTTGGTAATAAGGGGCTGGCACACACTTGCTGGAAACTGATAGCCCACCAACAGCACATTACCATTTCTTTAGCTGGAGGGGATTAGAAATTACTGTCTAAGTCAAAGCCAAGATGGCCATCCTTTTAGGTTTCCGAGGCATTTCTAGCACGCGCGCTTGTGGTATTAGTGTCATCCCGTACAAAGAAAACAGCATGCCCATTGTCATCGCGTGAGCTCCGAGGCAATGAATAGTCCTGCTGATGTCATGTAAAGATAGAAATTCATCAACAAGCTGAAGCCACACAGCTTCAGCTTGTTGAGTGCTTGCGGTGTGGGGGCTTTTCGGCCTGGGAGCCATTATGTCCCTAATTGCCGTTGGCACGTTTGCTGATGAATACCACAGCCATTATGGCCAGAGGTTTGATTCCCCGCTGAGAGTATAATTTTGTCCCCAAGAGAGATCTCGAGCGACGCTAAATTTACAAATAAATAATTGAAGAGCTGAATAAGATGCGTAAATGACCCCCAGTAGTGAGGACTTTCATATGGGGAAAGCTGCATCAGACTGTGCTCCTCTTCATTTAGCCAAGTAGTGTGGTAATGCCTGTTCACTGCCATTGTTACAATGCCAGCAGTTCTCTTGTTTTCTGCTTCACGTGGCTCAACTGGAACCCATTTAATTACTGTACCAGCTATTGTTTCTCCATACAGCTCCTGTTGCTCGTGCCGTAGTTTAAAGCCAGTCAGTTCGAACCCAACTGTGCGGTGCTAGTCGGATTTAAGTGCACATCAATACAAGTCACTCTGTGTTATTAGACAAATGCAATTTTCTCTTACAGTAAAGGCGAGGACACATATGATTTATTCATAGCTCTGGCTCTTTTAGGGTGCTTCTGTTGAGAACATGATGGAATGTGTGACAGCTCTTCTCTGAAGAGCATCTGAGTGATTGAGAGCGGCACGGTGGTTAAGTGGACCTGGGGGGGAAGGATGTTTTCTGGTCTTTGTCTCTGAAGTTTCAGCAATATTGAGTATTTTTTTCTTCCTGTCATTCCATTATGAATTTATCACTGAAAGAATTACTGCAAAAACACAATTGACTGAGGTACCACTCCAATAAGGCTCCATCAATCAATCAATCAGGTCTTTTCTTCAATTACATACCGCTGAAACAAATGGTTTATATCCCTACTGTGCCTTCCTTCTCTTCTACGTGCACTGCAAACACGGTAAAGCTCAAAAAATGTTTGCAGCTGTTTGGTTTGGGATGTAATGCCAGGTTGTCAGTCCACCACACTGGCTCACACTGAAAGCAGCCGACTTTCCATCTTGTGGAATTACTTGGTATTTCTGTAATATTGTATTTTTAATTTCCCCTAAAACGACTGGAGTTTCTAAGTATATTTATCTCATGAGCCACAAATTTGCAGCTAAACGAAAACACCAGAGTAAGATGATATATTGCTCGCGTATACAAGTGGGAGATGATGGGGGGGAAGATGCATTTTAGTGAAAATGTACTAACCCGGAGTTCCAAGAGGAAAGCCGGGGAATAATAGGATGCATGTTTAATGAGGCGGGATTGTTGAGCTGGTGAAGCGTCGAGAGTGCTCTGCACTTTTTTGGGTGACTTCCTCATTGCTGAGGAATGTTGCTTCTTAGATTCAGTTGTCAAAAACAAAAAATATATTTGCAGCTTGCTTCAGTAGAAATATAGTTTAGAGCCTCTTCTAAACAGTTTCTGTTTACTGACATACAATGACAGTGAGCATTTCTTAAGATTTCAGCTGAGCAGTTTAGCACCCATCACTTATAAAAAACCAAAACACAACCCAACTACAGTTTTGCACACAGCCAATTACTTGTCAAGTGATTCTTTTTGTTGTGCATTCAAGCGCAACCCAACAATATGCTCCGCTATGCCAGCTGCAAT